CGGAGGTGTCCACGGGGGATGGCTGGGCAGGGCCCCGAGGACCAGGGCTGGGAGACGTGTTCTGGGGAGAAGACGGACTTTCATCAGGCACTGACTGGGAAGAGGGGGCGACCCCCTCAGTGGTGACGGCTTCCAGTGGCGAAGGGAGCGCAGGGGCTCCGGGAACCGCCCCAGCCCTGCCTCATTCTCTCTTGTGGCCTGGCCGCTGGGCCTGGAGTTGGGGTGAGAGGCCTGTCTTGTTCTGAGCTTAAGGGACCTTAAGATCACTCTTTCCTCTGATGCTGGTGTCAGGCCTTTAGCCAAAAGTTGCTGCATGAGGTAGTGAGCTCCCCATTAGGAGGAGAAGGAAAGCAGGGGGTGGACTTTAAAGGATGAAGATTGGGAGGCTCTACCCTTCCTAATGGCTTAAATATATTCTCTCCCCCACCCCCACCTTCATCTGTTTCCCCTCCCCCACCTCTGGCCCTGCAGGTGGGTCGGCTACCAGTACCCTGGCTACCGTGGGCTGCAGTACCTGCTGGAGAAGGGGGATTACAAGGACAGCAGTGACTTCGGGGCCCCCCACCCCCAGGTGCAGTCTGTGCGCCGCATCCGCGACATGCAGTGGCACCAACGGGGCGCCTTCCACCCCTCCAACTGATGCCCCCCATTTCCCCTTTCCCAGGGGCCTGGTCTGCTGCCCAGGACCCCCCACACCTCTTGGTGAGTGAATAATAAAGTGTGACTTGCAACTGGCCCTCTGGCTGCAGTGTCTTTTTTCCCCAGTGGGAGGCGGGGCGCTGTGTGGGTGTGTGAGAGAGCCAGAGAGAGCCAGAGCCAGAAAGTATAGGCGAAGGTAGGACAACAGAGCCCTCACCGAGCCTTAAGGCTCTGCAGCTACTTGGCTGTGTGACCTTGGGCACACAGTCCACCCTCTCTGAGCCTCTGGTTCTTGCCTGAATGACAAACCCTTTGCCCCCTGAGTGGCTAGCACGGCTGACCACCTGGGTTCCCTCTTACAGGGCTGCTCCCAGGGGCATGTGATGGATGCCCCAGCCCTTGAAACAGTACCCACTGCCTGTTCTCACCTGAGTGCATTGCCACCCTGAGCCCAGGAGTTACTAATGCCGCATTCCCCACTGCACCCCAGAGGCACGTCACAATGGCATGTTCGTGCGTTGGTGTGTTCACAAGGTCCGGAGACACAAGGTCTCACCCACTTCTCTCAGGGCAGACAGCTTCCCCTTCTCTTTGTCTGGGGGCGGGGAGGAGGCGGCAGGCCCGTCCTCTCCTTTCAGCGCTCAAGGAAACATTTTCTGCTTTAGCCACCAGGTGGCAGTAAAGCGTCATCCTCAAAGCTCCCCGCAGGTGGGAGAGGTGGCGGTGGTGGGAGGGTCAGAACAGTTTGGCCCCTGATTGGAGCCGAGACCTGTCAGTCACAGAGGGTCTCAGAACCCCTCCTCCCGCAACAGGGAAACAGAGATTCAAAGAGGGAGCGGGCCAAGACCACGGTCTCAGTGGAACTATTGACAGGGCAGGGACAGGCCTCCAGGGTCCCATCTCTTTCTGCAGCTCTCCTGCCCAAAGCTTGTTGGAAGGGGAAACGAACCCACCCAGCAATGATTCTTTGCAGGAGGAAATCACTCTGTCACCCACTGTCGCTGGAGGCAATTGGCAAAGCCTCATCCTGCCACACGGCCGGATGACTTAAAGTAGCCTCTCTGCGCCTCGGTCTCCCCTGAAATGAGGGAAACGCTAGTGCTCGCTCACTGGGTTGCAAGGAGTGTGTCAAGTGTTTAGGGCAGTGCCTGACGCACAGCGGGGACTCAATAAATGAACACAATGTGACAAAGGCTGAGGAGAGGCTATGAGGTTGTGGGGTGCAGTCAGGAAAGGTTTCTGGGGCTTTTAAACAGGGTTTTGTAGGACGAATAGGAGTTTACCAGGAGCTCAAGGATGAGAGCACCTTCCACCCATTCATTCACTAATTTGCGCATTCACTCCCATCTTCTTCCTCCTGTCTCTCTGTCCTCTTCCCGGTGTGCCTTTCTCTTCTAGTGCTCTGACTCCTCCTGAATGCCCACCTTTTCTTCACTCCGCAAGCACATTCTCCCCCTGCTCTTCCTTCTTTTCCCTCGCCTCACTGTCACGTCCCTGGTGTGAGCTCAATCCCAGATGCAGCCACTCAGCCAGGCCCCAGCCCCTCCCCACTGCCACTCCCTGCAGCCTGATGGGGGGAGGGGAAGCACAGGTGGAGCAGGTGACCTCGTTAAGGTGTCTCATTCGGGTGTCCAGCCCACTGTCTCCACCCCCATGCTCGTTACAGCATTCTTCACAACGTAGCAAAGACATAGAAACCACGTAAATGTCCATTGACAGACGAATGGATCACGCAAAGTGTGGTCCATCTGTGCAATGACGCGTTACTCAGCCTTTAGGAAGAAAGAAATCCTGCCGTCTGCTATGCCGTGGACACACCTGGAAGACGTTATGATCAACGTCACTCCTCCTTGGAGAACACAGACACTCAGTCTGAGCAGGCCTGGACTTAGTAACCCCCCCAGCTCCGTCTGGCTGCCCTGGGGCATGGTTCTCGACCTGTGGCCCCCAGCCCAGCAGCAGCAGCGTCTGGGAGCTTGCTAGAAAGGCCCATGGCAGACCTACTGAATCAGAATCTACTCCCGGAGGTAGGCCCAGTGGTCTGTGCTTAGCCAAGGCAAGGCCAAGTGTAAGAACCACTGCTTTAGGCTTTTGTGTCTCTTGAAATAGCCCGTCTTTCTGCATCTTTCTCTTTAAAGCAGGCAGATGTTCGTGCTCAGAGAACTGTGTGATTAATGCTGTGACTTGCAGCATTATCATTCGCTTTCCCTTAAATAAGACAGAAATGAGTGGGTTTGGGAGAAATCTCCTCTCTGTGTTAACCCGGGAAGGAAGGAAGACCACCCAGGTGGTCCATGTTGCCAGTGTCCACAGCTGCAGTTCTGCCCAAGACACTGGTCTAAAACTTTATTTTCTTTTAGACTCAGAGTAGGCACTCTCTATTCATCATTATTGCCCCTGATTCCATCCATCTTCATTTAGCCGGTCTCCTCATCAGACCCTCCCATGAGCCCCTCGCCGTCTTTGCAGAAGTGTTGTAATTGTTCACAGTGTGTCTGCCCCTCCTTCCCAGCAAAACCCGGAAACTCCATGAGGACAGGGGGGCGTCTGCTCGCTTCGCTGCCTGTTCCCCGCGCATTCACACCATCGCGGGCACAGGGACCTAGCGGGGCGCATGCGTAGACGACCCTCCTCCAATGAAGTCTCTCTTGCTCCAAGAGCTGCTGTAACAGGAAGGGAACGTCCGCTGGTGGAACCTGCTCCCCCAGACTTGGTCGGACTTGGTGCGGGGAGAGCCATGGCTTCACGGATTCGTCAGTGTTCCGCGCGTGGCCGACCCACGCTTGTGCTGATCTCTCCGTCTGCTGAAACCAACTCATTGCTCAGGCTCCAGAAGACACGCTTCCTCCTCCTTGAATTGGCGGCCATCCCCACGGGTCCCTTCCAGAGCACAGACTCGGGAATCTGTCCTTAGGTGTAAATCTAACTCTTCATAGCTGTGCACCTTCGCCAGCTGAGCCGCAATGTTCTCTCATCTGAAAACAGGGCACTTGGGGCCTATGCAGCAGGAACAGGCTCCGCGAAGTGACGGCTCCAGAGCCAGGCAGCTGGCTGCTGCGGAACCAACACACCTTCCCTCTTTTACACTTTGAGCGCTCTCTCCTCTCTCGGGGCCACCAGGCTGCTCCAGCCGTCTCAGTCTAGAGCATGTGAGAAAAGTATCTGATAAATGCCTCGGGTCTAGGGCAGCGCTTCTTACCCTCAGCCCTGGGGGCTGTCCTGGGCCTGGAGAGAATTTGAGCAGCATTTCTGGCCTCTGTCCACTAGATGTCAGCATCAACCCCAAGTCGAGCCGGCCAACCAAGTCTCCACTGCCCTGTATCTCCGGTGCGGGTGCGACATCACCCCAGGCTGAGGACCACCGCTCTAGGGAACTGGGGATACTCACACTGGGGGTGAGCATATTTTTAAACAGGATGGTGAATGGAGTTTACAAATGGTGGGGCTTCAGGCAGGGTTGCAGACGGGGAGGGGAAGAGTTAGAACAAAGTATACGCCTTGGGCGTTGGTCTCTACTCCGCCTCCCCTCCCCGCCATGATACAGACTCAGATGAACGGTCCGGGCTGAAGGGGGCTCAGTCTCTCGTCTCACAAACGGGGAAACTGAGGCCTGGAGGCCAGCAGCGACACTTTGGTGCCTCAAAACGCACACACACACACATAAATAATATATTTAACGTGTACATATATAATATATATATGGGGTGGGGCAAAAGTAGGTATCCAGTTGAGAGTACACAAAACAAAGTTTACTCTCAGTATTATTTATTAATCATTGTATTATTTTTCCATACAACTGGAAACCTACTTTTGCCTCACCCTGTATATTTGACATGTAAATAGCAACTCCACTAAAAATGGAGGTGGAGTCACAAGTAGGAAAGGAATTTTAGACTTTTCCCTCTGTGCCTCCTTGCATGGGCGCACACACATGCAGCCCCACATTTTCCCTTCCTTTTGTTCAGGGAAGAAAATATGGGAGAAATCTGGGGTGCATTTGCTTGCTGCCTGTGGTCCTTTGGTCTTACAGCCTTGGCGGGAGGAAGCTGAGGAGGAAGCTGAGGTGGGCAGGTGGAACCCCTGTGGTCAGCCAGGGGCCAAATGAGAGGACGGGGTCATTTTGTCCTTTGAATAGACTCTTTGGAGGGCCCGCATCAGGTTCTGAATGAAAAGGGCTGAACTTGGCCCTCGCTGTGACGTGCAACCGCTCACCACGAGCAAACTCGCAACAAGGGCAGCAGGGGGTGACGAAGGGGAAGTGGGGCACCGCCCATCTCCCAGGAGGCTTTGGGCCAGGAGGCCTAGGAGGGGTGGGGTTTGGCTCTGAGTATCAGGAGCACAAGGCTGGCCTGGGAGGGCTTTCCAGAACAAGGGGTTCACGTGTGCAAAATTGACAAGGTGGGAAAAGCCCTATCAGGTGAAGGGAAATGCAGGCGGTCCTGCAGGTGTGAACCGTGGCCTCTTTCTGCGGAGTGGAGGAGGAAGGATGGCCAGAGGCCAGGGAGCAGAGCCCAGGGTGCGAAGGTAAATATTGACATAAAACAGTTGGGTCTTGATGGGGGGGTGCCATGGGAGGGTTCTCAACGAGGGAGTGACTCAGTCCAACCCAGTGGGCACTGGAGGACACTCCCTCTGGGTAGTGTGTGGACCTGAGGGGCGGGTGGGGGGGAGGCCTGAAGCTGTTTTCTTTGAGTGACTATTGGGGTACAGGCATACCAAGGGACAGGGTGGGGTGTCTCCGGTGCACCCACTCCTTGTAAGGGGCAGTTGTGCTGCTCATCTGATTCTACTTTTTACGCTTTGTGTCAACATAAGAAACATCCAAACCGGTAGCAAGTTTTTATGAGTTTATTGGAGCCAAACTGACGGCATAGGCTGGGGGCAAAATCTCAGGTGCTCTTTTGAGGACGGCAGTTTGGCTGCTTATTTGATACATTAGAATAAAGGAGACGATGCGAGGAAGGTACACGAAAGCCACTGCGGTAGATGGAGGAGGCGGGAGAAAGCAAGGCGGGGAAATCTGTGGGACTGGATCAAAAGCAAACAGAAATGCACGCTTCCTTTACACTGGCGGCTGCAGGCCAGTTCACAGTGAGCGTTTACAGCACACAGACCGTGCGGGGGGACGAGACAATGATGAGAGGCTCTGTGGTCTAGTGCCCCATGGTCCTGTGCCCTGGTGCCTGTGGCTGAGACTTCGAGGGGGTCTGGAAACAAACTGCTCTGACATTTCGAAGGAGGTCAGCCTAGATGTGCAAGAACAATGGGCGGGGCTCGCTTCAGGTGAGGTTTGCACTTGGCTAAGGAAGCTCTAGGCCCGGGACGTGACTACTTGCTCAGTTGGGAATTTGTGACCAGACCACCCTGTGGGGTCACTTGTGGCCACGGAGTTTACCAGGTTTGTTGCATAGCCAGCCCCCTTTCATTCACATTTTCAAAGCACACTCGTTCTGTTACAAAACAAAATTCAACTGAGTAAATCTGGAGATTTTATTGGCTTGACAAAGGGTCCCTGGATCTGGCAGCACCCCCACTAACAACAGAAGGCCTCTCCGAGGGGCTACACAAAATGGAAGGTCTTATAGGAAGGCGGGTGGGCCTCGACCAGTGTGGCTCACTATGTTGGGCGTCATCCCGTAAAGTGAAAGGTCACTGGTTCAATTCCGGGTCAGGGCACATGCCTGGGTTGCAGATTTGGTCCCTGGTTTGGGGCTCATATGAGAGGCAGCCGATCAATGTTTCTCTCCCACTCTTTCTCCCTCTCTTGCCCTCTCTCTAAAAAAATAAATAAATAAAATTTGTTAAAAAAAAAACAACACATGAAGAAGAGTGGGTGGAGCCCTGGCCGGGTAGCTCAGCTTGGTTGGTTAGAGCATTGTCCTCATACACCAAGGTTGTGGGTTCAGTCCTTGGTCAGGGCACGTTCAAGAATCCACCAACGGATGCATACATAAGAGGGAGAAGGGTCGGGCAAGGGAGCTATCAACAAAAGAAAAGATTATTTGGGGGCTGGGATATCATTTTTGGAGGAAAGGGAGGGAGGAGGGTTTTTAGCACGTAGATTACCTCTTCTTTATAGGTGGGGGTGGGTGGGAGATTGTGGGGGGTCTCTGCCTGCAGGACTCCTGCCCCCCACATCCCACCCCCGGCCACCACAGATGAGAGTAAGTCTACCAAGACATGATCTGCTTGGGGAGGAAAAGTGGCCGATCTCTCAAAGGAGAAGGGCGAAGAGCCTGTTCCTCAATGGGCTTTTATTGGGTTCATCTGCACAGGAATACAGGCAAGGATCCAACAATAGATAGCATACAAAGAGCTCTGAGGGCCTGTTCTGTGTCAGGGTCAGGTAGCTAAAGAGCCATAAAACTTTGAGGAACAAACTCACTTCTTGCTTGGACCCTTGTCATTTAATTGAGAGCATTCTAAACAAAGCAGGTTTCACAGGATTTTACATATTCTTTATGAGGCCTGATCCCCTTGGGAACCCACCCTTTCCAGCACAGCGCTGCACCCACTACCGGCATTGTTTCAGGCTTAAGTCAGGCAGGGGAAGTAAGGCAGCTGAGAGATCAGAAGACTTCTTGCAGACAGAAGGAGGACTCAGGCTTTGTCAAAACTGAGGGGTGAGGGCCCGTCACCCGCTTTCTCCACAGCCCCCCAAGTCCTTCCCTGGAGACCTCCCATGTGATTGTACCTATCTTAGGTCATTTCCCGAGTAGGGAATCTTACCCGTCATTGGCTAACCGATCAAGCACTGGGGACCAGGCAGGGTGAAGAAAAAGGAGCAGAAGCGGCGCCCCTGCCAGGGAGATAAGCTTTGTCTCCTTAGTGGCTTCTGGTCTGAAGGTCACTCACTCAGCCTTAGCCTTGGGGGGTTACAGCTTCTGAAACCAGGCAGGGCGGTTCCCAACAGGGGATGGAGAGGCCCAGCTGACAGATGACCTACTTGGTATTGACCAGAAAATTCCAGACAGGCTTAGATTATATGCCTGGGAGAGGTAGAAACTGCAGTTACTCAGGTACTAAATCTAGGTTCATATCGTGGACTTTTAGCACAAGCGACACCATTTTGGGCCTGTGGTTTTCCCTTTAACAGTTCATTTCTTGCTTCAGACATTTCTTTTATAAGAAATAAAATGTTACAGATACAGTGCTGTGCCCCCTAACCCCAACCCCAAAACCAGTCCCTTTTCTTCCCCTGCCTTGAGGTGCCACCTATACCTTTATTTTAGTTTTACTTCTGCTGCATTTGTGGATATCCATGAACAATATATATAGTATTGTTTCTACACTTCTCCTGAACATGATCATTTAGTAACTATGCATCACTTGGTAACTTGTTCTTTTCTCTCAACATTGTGTTTCTAAGACTTATTCATGTGGTAACATGTAACATGTGTGGGGCATTCATCCTACTCCCCCTGAAGTGGTTCATTGCATGGACATAATGGGGGTTATTAATCCAGCCCATGTGGATGGACATTTATGTTGTTCCTTATGTGTTGCTGTGAACCAGGGACACCCCATATGTTCACCCCATATTTTCTCTAAACTCTCCTTGAGTTCTGACCGTACGAACTCCACAACTGGGCTGACTGGGTTCAAATTTCAGCCCCGTAACTTATGGGAAACTTAGCAAGTTACCTAAGGAATCCTAATAGCAGTGCTTATAGTGCTATTGTGGGGATTCCCATGTTACTGAAGTACCGCACTTCTCTGGGTCTCGCCTTCCCCATCTGTAAAATGGGCACAGTAAAGAAGACAACGGGTACCATTCAGCAGATGCTCAGCAAAGATGCACTTTTCTCGCCTCGCTTCTGGTTCCTCGCCTTGAGGAAACAAGGTAGTTCAAGAATGTTCTGTGATCCTCTTGGCCAGGTGAGGAGACTGAGGCTCAGAGAGGTGGAGAAACTTTCTACAGAACACACAGCATGTTGGGGGGAAGGGCTGTCCTCCAGGCACCCCCTGCTGGGCTGGTCCTTGTGGCAGGTCTTCAGGGCCAGCCCACTTCCTCCCGCAGACGGACCCCCCTCCCCTGGCCTGGCCCTGCTGCTGGGCCCCCCGCTGAGCTCTTCGAGATGTGGGACTGATACAAACAGTCCTCCACACGCCTCTCAGAAACAGCCACCACATGCTCCTGTAGCGTGGCAACCACAGACTCCAAACAAGCGCTTCACACAAGACCAAAACGGAGGGGGAGGGAGAAAGCCCACCCCCAACCCAGACACCCCTCTGAGGACCCCTGCCGCAGAGCTTTCGGTGTATGGAGGCGATTGGTTGGCGTCACATCTTCACGTTTAAAGGAATTTTCCCCCCCAAGTTGTTTTCCTCTGGCCTATTGCGGCAGGGAGCCAAGCGGCGGGTTTAAAATACACAAAAGGAAACAGAGCATGGCGCGGTCTGGCGCAGGAGGGCCATTAGGGAGAGGGTGCTCTGGGGGTGGCAGAGCGGAGCGGGCGCTGGGCCACCTCTGGAGCCGGGGCGGCTTCGCCTTGGCCCTGGGAGTCACTAGGGGTCTGAACGGTGGCGCTGCGACCTCTGGTGCCCACTGCTCAGCCCGGAGTCAGCTCCTTGCAATGAAATCCCGAAACACAGAGCTGGGGAGGCCCTGGGAGACCATTTGATTCAAGGTCTCTGATTTCTTTTCTTTCTTTTTTTTTTTTTGGCAAAGAAATTGTTTTCTGGATAATCTAGCCTAAGGAACCCTACTATGCAAAGCAGATAAGAGAGTGCCAGAGTGGAAGTGGGGGGCCTGGAGTCCCACCCAGGGGGATTCTCTATCTTATCCACACCCCACCCATGGGAGGCTTACCCCACCTGTGGGAGCCTTCAGTATCTGTTTCCACTGTCAGTGCCCTAGGGGACCACAGGACAATGCCAGTCCCTTCATCTACAGATGGAGGAACTATTGTTATAAATAGTCATGTTTGCTAACCACTATTATCACACTTCAGACATGCCTGGTGTAGGGACAGGACCTCATATGTCTGAAAGGATCAAATCCCTGGAACTGTGTGGTAAGGGAAGTGTCCTGACGATCCCCACTTTGCAGGCGAGGAAACAGACGCACAGAGAGGTACCGTCACTTCCCAAAGCTGCCCACATGATAAGCGGCGAGGCCAGAGTTAAGAGCCCAATGCGGTGGGTTCTAGAACCTGTGCCATTCATCGCTCTATGGCCCAGGTGGTTTCAGGACTGTCCCACGGTCACACAGGAGCTGAGCCAGCCCGGTGTGGAGGGAAGCTTCCAGATGTGCAGGGCAGGAGCTCCAGGTCCAAGATGTGCCCTTGTCCTGGCTATTTGGTAAGAGAGAGGGTGAGTGGCCAGCGAGTTGAGGAGGAGGAGGAGGAGGAGGAAAGAAGCCTTGAAAGCACCCTGCAGAACTGGGAACTAGGGAGCTACAGCAGATGCTTGAGCTAGAGAGTCAATTCCCACCCTTGGCCACACGTCAGTGTTGGAGCCATAGGCTCAGAGCACTTTGTTACGGTAACACCACAGTGCCGAACACTGCTCTAAGCACTCTA